AAATGTCTCTTGCCTTTCTCCCGTCGCGTCGCAGTGATCAGAAGTGAACGCGAAAAGGAAGATGACTAACTGCAAGGAGAGAAACGGAAGCAATGGAATGAAAGTTAAAATTAAAACTTGCACTGTCGGGCTTCAATTCAAAGTACAATAATCCATTTCTGTCTGCCATAATGATGAAAGCTCTCCGTGGAAACTACGATTAATAATTCGCTTTGCTTTCTTGGAAAGTCCACCTCTGCCAGGAAGCTTCGATTTTTAATCTTCAGAGTAGAATACTTTAAGATTCAGTCGTTTCAATAAACGGACATCTTTGCTTCACTCTTCTATGAAAAATATTTAATACTGCAGCGCACCTTTATAAATCAGAATTGCTTTTACGTTAAACGTTCTCACACATTTACTTTTTTTGTGCAAAGTGATCCTACAGGATAACACAAGACGAAAATGTGGAATACCGTTTTAACCTCTTACATAGTACGAGTTTTCTGAAGAGAATGTGATTTGAATCAAATCGATCGGACACATTGTTTTCTCGGCAAGCTGTCAACCACCGCGTTAAAAGTTTCAGTAGTCTTCGGTCGACCACTTAACACTGCTCCATATCGAAGAGTGTAACTCTAGCAATTCTAGGGATATCTTTTTAAAATTTTGACGCGAAATTCTTGAAGTATGTATCTTCTGAGAAATGCAACCAAAAAATCTGTTTGTTGCAGTGGTCAGCCCTCTTAAAGAGGCATTAATGGCGTCTCGGTGAAAAGTTTCCGCGATGAGAAGCGGTTTAAACGGACGACACTTACTGTAAATAATGCACAACCGTCGCCGGGGACTCTCCAGAGGTTGAGATCTTGGCGAGGACAAGCAACGTTCACGCGACGCGTGATAAATTGTCGCTGGTTTACTTGCTATTGCAGCGACATCGATCCTACGAAGTGGAAGTTGCGCGAGGATCGTTGCTTCCGGAGCTGAAACTTTGTGAGGAGTCGACGGAAACGGGGAAAGATGCGAACTGGAGTTCGGTTGGTTACTCCCAGACAAAAGACGGCGTGAATTGGAACAATCACAAACTCGAATTTATGCTACGTTTCAAGACGTGAACGGATGACGGGTCAAACTCCTCTTTAATTTATCTCAAATTAAACATTTTACTTCTCCTTCAACATCTCGAAAAGTAGAGTTTCTTTGCTTACTTCTTCAAGAGTATATAGTATGAATCTGTGTAAGTTTCGACTAATGAATATGATTTCGTATTTAAAAATCTTTGTGGCTAATAACTAGGAGTTATTATACATCCATGTGATTACAGAACAGTGATTACTTAGCCATTTGTGAAAAGCTGATTAAATCAGTCATTAATTATTGATGTAACAAACGGGTACCATTAGTTCTCACATTTAGTTTAGCGTACATTTTTACGTTACGCTTCTTTAGCATCGAATCCATCAGCTTCGGTTTACGGGGAAGGTTCGGTAAACAAAGGACAAATATTTATCTTGAAATAATAAGCAATATATATCCATCGGCTTCAAACAGATCCCACGAATGTTTTTAATCAAAACATGCTGTATTTTTGTTAGCCAATCGCATACAATCCTCTTGCTAGACCACCGCTGAGTCAGATTCGATTGGGACGCGAGTCGTGTGTCCTTTCGAATTTCCCCTAGCGGCCAGCAACTGTTACAATGCCGGTGGATAAGGGAACGGTTCTTCTCCGCAAAGATGTTTAATTTAATGAAACGGAAACTCTTAGCAGGAAAATAAACGACACTTAATCTGCAGTTAACTGTAGATATTTTCTGGCCGTAAGGCACGACACGTTATGACGATTAAGTATTATAATCAAGTTATATGCCTTTGTACCCTTATAAATAAAGTGCACTCACTAACTTCATTATCTCCAGCACTTGAAATATTATTGACAAGCCCCGCAACAGAGGCTCAGCGAGAACAGCTCTTCGAATAACAAAGTAGGTGTTTTTCTGTTCCTGGCACGTCGTGATTATGCATAAATCTTAAAAAAGGAACGCAATTACACGGTCTTCCGTTACACCGTCGATGTTCATTCGTTCCCCTGATCTCTTTGAGGCATTCCCTCGGCAATCTCCTCAGCGAACGTCTCTTTTAACGTCGAACAGCAATCAACCACCTCTTTAAATCATTTCCACCTCGTCCCCGCACTTTAGGTTTGTCCTGGGTGTCCTTAGATCCGGGAGCGATTACCGTCAATGCATTACCAGCAGCCTTTTCTCGAGTTATGAACAATGCAGCTAACCGTGTTACCTATTTGTTCTTTGCGCACACAGGCGGGATTACTGAGAATTTTTGCGTCCTGTTCCTCTCAAAGATTCAGGACACCATCCTTTGCGTTGTCACGTTTGCGAGGAACCGGGCAAAGCAAACTAAAACGCCCTGGCCATTTGGTAAACAGGCGACCCTCTCTAAGTGGCACGCTCCAAGTCCTGTATTCTACTTCCTCGCTCCTTTTGGTAACATGTTTAGGGATTCGAGAGAAGAATCCCTAGAATCGTCGGGGACATTCTCTTTCCAGCCACGGTTCCCAAATATTTCTTTCTTTCTTCCCTTTTTCCTTTCTTGTTGACTGTTTTTATGTTACATCGGTTGCTAGGTCTTCCATTAAATCCTGCCTTCAAATGACAAAAGGATAAGGAGGTCAAATAAACCCCTGAATTTGACTTGCAACTATTATTACATGGATCCTTCTATTATTACAAAATTCGTATTATTATAATCGAATTCTTATCCAAATAATTCATTTTCATAAGTAAGTACGTCATTCAAAATGTTCTGGATAAATTCATCCTATAAAAATCAACAGTCGCTTCAATTCCTAAATTCCGTTTGGTTGAATCTCAAAATATCAAACCATCAAGGATTCTATTTACCTTGGCGTGCATTGTAATTCAACCCAATATGCCATTTCGTAGGTGGCTGAATTTACTTTCTACTGTTCGTATGATTTGCACTTTCAGACTGGAAAGTAGACGATATCCTGCACTTCCAGGGGAAGAAACGTTTCCATCATCTAAATAATTTTGAACGTTTGGGATTTCTATTTTGTTTGCAACAGCCTGTCAGATGCTTTTATTCTCCAGTGAGGTTTCTTCAAGAAGGCGGTGCAATTTCGTTGCATGTGCCACTTGCACATGCAAGTTCAATTTGTTAAGTGCACTGAGAAATTTAACAACAACTGCGCTCACAGAAATAATACATAAACATAATCAATAATTTTTAATAAAAAAGGAACGTAAAGAAAATTTCATGAATTATAAAAGCTATTTTAGCCTTTTAAAATTCTCCAATCTTTGCCTCCTTTGGTAATTCGTAGTCTTAGTGGTCACTTTTTCATTCCAAGCACTCTCATTTGAAGAGGATCTGTAAAAGTTTTAGAAGAGAATTTCCATCTTCGAGTAGAATTTTTGCAGACACCAGGGACGGAAATCATTTTCAAACACTCGTCAGGGCCTCAGAGAAATGATTCTGTTCCCATTACATTTTTTTTTACCTTTGGATCGATCACTTAATTCCGACACACAATGAGGCGCGCCATACGGGAAGCGGAAGTAATCTGAGGACTGGCCTTCCATTAAAATCTGGGTCGAGTCTTTACTGCGAGGGAAACCGACGTTTCCAATATCCGTAATAGGCAAGAGTTTCCTAGCCGCGAGATTAAGTTGCAAAAACCAAGAAAACCGTTTCTGATTCCCCACCTATTTTTATCGGACATCTCTCGCTATTAGGTGTAACTTTTGTATAGATTAAAAAGTAAAAAAGCATTCGATATCCTACGTGCCAGTGTTGATTTTTATTTACACGAAGAGAAACAATGTATGGGCGAGAACTTCTTTGAGATACACGCCTTCGACTGAAGTTTCTATTAAATTTTCTGCCATTTCACCGGACGCACGTAGACACTATCGCCCATAAAAACAGTTCCAGCGCTATTCGGCGAAAACACGAAACGGAGGATTAGGAACGGGCTTTCTACGTGCCCTCTGTCCAGAAAAACTACAATTTTGCGATCGCACGCGGCACACATAGTTCCCATTCTTCCTTTTTCAGCGTTTTTGCTCAATTCTATTTCCTCTGCGTCGCTGGTCTGGCGTTTAATTATGACGAGAAGTTAAAAGAAAGAAATCCCAAAACGCTTTTTTCGACTTATTAATGTTTTCATCGTTGGAAATGCATGGAAAATTGTCGAATGTGTTTTTAATTATTGTATGAGTGGAATCTTTTTCCATTTACGAATAAATTCGTTAGTACGCTCCAAACCAGAATTGGACGCGATCTATTACTTTAAATGAAATTTTGTAAATGAAAACGTAATGGAAGATGTACGCATGTAGAAAACATATTTTATATTTATATGAATTCATAAAATAGATTCTGAATAAATCTTAAATGTAGGAAACGATCAGTCAATAATTGCATTAATTCTCGTTCCTAAAAATCAGTAAAGACACATCGGTGCATCGCGCATTTAATTGAAGTGGGTACCAAGGACCAATTAAGACAACTATGCTTGAATAATGGTCGACTTTGTTCATAAATTACTCGCGTAAATTGGGGCTTCCTGCCGTGTTCTGCAATGCAAGGTTCTCGTGTGTCGCCTGTATCAGATTTGAAAATTATACAACGCTAAACCTCAAAAATCTGTTCACCTTATTACTATGGATTTTGACACAACCTAACTAGACTTAATCCAGACCAAACTCAACTTCTATTTATATTGAAATTAAATGAAGATAATATTAGCCATTCGTCGAAAAGTTTTCATAGACATTTTTATGTTATCCAAACTCTAAATATACATGAATCATTTACCACAGACCTAACCCAGAATTAACACAGGTCCTAATCAACCCAAGCCTAGACTAAACTCAAACATGATCCAAGCGTAACCTCAACCAGCACCCCGAGTATCCAAGAACTACTCGCCTCCAGACCAAACCTCAATTCAAACCAAGTACCCAAAAACCACTTACCTCGACTGAACTGGTCGTTGTTCGCTATCACTTTCTCAGCATTCTTCCTGGCTATATAGAACCACTCACTGCTGTTGCTCAGATACTTGTACTCAATGGCCAGGTCCTTTACGAGGACACCGTCCTGATTCTGCAGCCGATGAGCAAACGGACAATAAAGCCACCTGTCCTTGTACTGTAGTTTATCGTAACAGTTCCCTGCAGCGAAGATGTCCTCGTCGAACTCGACCATGGAGAGGATGCTGGCGTGCAGAAGGTACTCCGAAGACAACATCACCTCAGGAGCATACTTCCAGAGCCTGGTCAACATGTTGGCCCTGTTTACCGCCAGGTTGGCCTCCAATCGAAACTTCTCCTGGGCGTACTGGTCAACGACACCCTCGCCAAGGTTCAGATCGGTACCAGCGGTACAGTTTTCCCCCAGGAGATGTTGATTTTCTATGATGCGTAGGAACCGCGTGACGATGTCCACGTGGACGGGCTCTTTGTTCCCTTTGACCTGGTCCACGACCGTCCTCCCATAATCCTCGTAATCCTCCCTCTCAGACTCGTTTCTGCCAACCTCACTGTCACTGTACACGTCATACTCCTCCAGGATGGCGATCTCCACAGCGTCCAGGTCGTTCCTGTCACTGGCAGGTGCTCCGCGAACAACTGTCCCGTACACATCGGTCATGTTAATGATAGTCCTGTTTCCAAACGCGCGGAACCTGTTCTTGGCGATCACCTTCCTCAGTTTTCCGAACGAGTCGTTCTTGTGGCGTGCTGACGGCGTCACGCGAGTCCGTCCCTCTTTCCTACGATCCGAGCCAGCCTCTGACAACCTAGTGAGCAATTTGTCGATGTCCACGGTGGACCGTTCGTCGATGGTGCCCGTGGACCTAAGGTCCTGTCCAGAGGACCTGCCCATGTCTGGACTCTTCCCTTTGACTTTGCCAAGTGCCTCCTCGCTTTGGGATGCGTTGTCCGCAGACTGAGCTCTTCTGCTGGCTCCACTGGGCATGTAAGAGAGATCAGTGTCGTCGAACTTGGCCTGTCGGGCGAAGTGGTTTCTGGACCGACTGTGCCTGATTTGCGTGGCCGGTTTCTCTATGCTGGTCTCCAGTCTGTCTCTACGAGTCAGCTGGAGTGCAGTGTCCAGATCGTCTCCATCCCGCTGCCGCTCCTTCAGGCCTTCGGACAGCTCGGTAGCCTGCATCACCAGCTTGCGGTCGATGAACGAGGGCCGCTGGTTCTGCTGATGACGCAGGGTCTCCTTGGGTCTCTCTATCTGAGCCTCCTGGTCGGCGAACCCGGCCAGCACGGGCCTATGCGCGCACGTGAGCAAAAGGAGGACGTACCAGCGGCAAGCGACACTCATCTTAGCACTGTCTTCGCGGCCATCAACGGCGTCAAGATCTCACGCGACCCTCGGCTCGGTCAAGTCATGATATACTCGCTGGAGGCTTTAGCATCCTGGTTTCTCGTGTTCTGCGGCTTTGTAGCGCCGGACGGCATTCGCGTCACATTTTTCCGCGACTACAAGGACGGTTTCGCGGATACTTTTACAAGATCCTGCTATGGGAGCAATAACGCAAGGTAGTGCCAGGTCGCGATGAGAGAACCACAGAGCCTCGTTGAAAATGTTCATGTCCACTTCGAATTGGAACCCTCGACACGCTTGGTGACAGTCGACGATCGACTTTCAAGGTCTGTTTTTAACGAAGGGTAGCCTCGGTAATGTCAACGTGTCGCTAGAGGTCCTGGCTCGTTCGATCCTCAGGTAGGATCCTCGGATTCCGAGCGGATTTCATTCATCCTGTCGCGATTCATTGTTATCCGGCGGTTGACAGGTGACCTACCACGGGGTAGGTGCGTGTATCAACAGCGTGTATCGACGGGACCTCGAACGGGAGCGCCGTGGTCGACTCGCGCTCGCACGCGGCGCCAGACTGAGGGTTGAAACTCGCTACCCCTTTGTCGTGCGGCGGGAATCCGGTCGCAGAGCGCATGCCTCACCCAGATGATTTTGTTAGCATCAACCGAATCAGTGTTTTCTTCGGATGGCATCGATAGGTCGTGCGTAACGAGACACAGTGCGGGATGAAGTGATAGCTAACATTTCTGTTTTCATTTAAATTTCTGGTATAATCTGTGGACACTGTATGTTAATGGATTAGTTACAATAATAATAAGTAATAATCTAGTTGTATCTGAAAAAACACTTAATACTTGAACTCTTAACGTGGTTTCTCCGAGGAGAGGGCGACAGAAATAATAGTCCAGTCCCTGGAGCTAGTTGAGGGTTAATAAATTGCATAAATTTTATCTCTTAAGGCAGTATTAATAATGGGGGACTATGCTCTAACTTATTTGCGCCACGGAGGGCTTTAAGGGGTTACGCACAGCTGAACAAAGAGAACTTTATGGTTTTTTTTTTTTAGTTGCACTAATAATTTAAAAGAAAATCCTTTAAGAAAATACAATTGAAAAAATAACTGAATACTAAAATATGCTAAGAATAGGAGAATAATTTTCATTTTATTGCAAACTGTACACTTTAATACATAGTTACTTGGTTTCATTTGCGATTTGATCCCTCGAGTAACACGGTACGATCTAGAAAGTGCCAAAAGTAACCTTGAACACGCAGATATGTATTTCGTTTATGGATTTCTTGCGGGAATAGCTGGCGTAACCATAAGAGGATATCGGTAAAAGTAAAAAGTTTCTGACAGAACACTACGCCATCACGGAATACCTTTATCGATCCCTTCACATTTCATATTTCTGTTTTAACTTTCGAATAAAGCGTATACCGACTTAAATTTTTCCTGGCATTCCCCTTTTATCTCTATACTGAGAACACGCTGGCAAAGTTCACAAAGAAACCTGGATACTCGGTATTCCGAGAGTAATACATCGAAGTAACCACGTTCGATAGCGGATCAGGGTAGGTGATGGAATACATCATTTTTAAATGCACGTTTAAACATTGTTTAAAACTAAAGATATCTTTATATTGTTACAAGATTTAGTACAATACTTACACTAAATGGGATTTTGCTCCGTTCTTTACAAGGAATGAGTCGGAATAGTAGGGAGAGTCTTGTAATACGCGATGTAAAAAGGAAAATAGTAATCTCAATTGGACTAACATGTACAGGCATGTTCGTACCAATATGTGATAAATACACGCATGTGAGTGTGGGGGGGGGGGGGGGGGCTGGCAACAAGGGAGACGCTGTACTGATCCTCGAGTCTCTATACTCTCGCCAAGAAATTATGTATATATATTGAACGTCTCACCTCGAATCAGTACATTGCCTCGACGCGAATCACACTGCAAGTCCATAGTTCTGTCAAATCGACCAGCGTAGGGTTACAATGGCATACCAAGACCTTGAGGAGTGGGATTGGTACGATGACTGGAGTGAACCTGAATGACATAATGAAATACGCAGGTCTCAGTGTATCATTCACAGGTAATCTTAGCACTTGTACAATTTTATAAGCCTAAAAACTACTTATATTTGATATTAACTAAAGCTCTCGATCACAAAAAAAGCCCCCACTCCATGCTCGAGTCTATCAGCGCGCTGGGGGTGTAACTCCACCGCTCCTCTCCCCAAAAGTGAGCGACCTCTTCTATTTACGTCACCTTTCACATTCAAAAACCTCAGTTAATATCAATACTAAAGAATCGGGCCGTGAAGGCCTCGAATAATTTATTTGTATTTATTTATTTATAAGTGACGCTGAACGAACTTTATTAACAATTGATAAATTAAAATCGTTCATCACTATAAATACATTCTGTGTGACAAAATATACCATCTCAATGGAGGCAGTAATAACCACACGGAAGTCGTAGTCCAGTGGGAATGTATGTCCGCCTCGCAAGAGTCATTTTCTGTCGTAATAAGAGACCATTCGAAAGTTTACATTGCACACATGAAATACAATATGTATCAATGTTTTCGCACATTCTATGCACATTCGTTTAATCATTCGCGAGAGTTCTCATTGAGAAAATTTGTCTCCCAATAGGTTATTAAAATAAAATTGCCATCTTGGCGTACGGTCATTTCAGGAATGTATTATTCATTCCTAAGGATTCCTCTCTATCATTCTCCAAGTCGCGATTAAAAAACATTTTAACCGATATTTTTACGGTACATCATCGATCTAACATTAATAAAAATATTACCTAACATCTACGACGTATCATCTGAAAACAGACAAATATATTAAGATGATAAACGTTCGTAAATTTGTAAATAGTCTTGCAGATGCGCATTGAAGATTGTCTCTATGGTAATATATAGCAGGTGGGTGTTCATCGCTTGGTTTGCAATGATCCTCTTTTTCTTTTAGCTCCATCTGAAACAAATTGGAACAGCCACAACTTATATCGTGCTTTCCAAGTTTATTACTTAACTTGAATTTCCTATTTAGAAATGATACACGCTTTTATTCGAAAAGAAGACAGAATTTAAGGCCTCCTGCAGCTCAGTCTATCGGAGTATACGCGCACTATATCGAAGGGAGCCTCACCTCACAAATATCTCGACATGCAGGACAAGTCAGAGCACCCTTGTGAAGCCAGCCATTTTGTATTATTCTAACAGCTATTTCTTGACCAGCCTGGTAGCAGGTATAAGTGTAATTTGCAACCTGCACAACAAAGTATGTAAATATAATTAATTAATGTAATCGTGTTTTATCGTAAACTAACCATGATATGCAATCTCCCGGCTTCGCATATATACTGATAACAACCAGAACCCCAGTGTTGCCATTGTCTAGCTTGTTTGCATGTTCTTTCCTCCCACATTTCATTTGTGTGATCAAAGCACCTCGAGTGTGGACCATACTTTTCTAATGCAAAATTTTTTTCAGGATCTAAAGGCGAAGATATTCATTTTTTAATCGTTTGATGTTCAGTTCGTTTGTTCCCTTAATGACACCACTTACGAGGATTATTCTCTTCGTAAAGACAATGAGAGCCCCTGATTACTATATTCCGAGCCCTCCATGTAAATTCTTGTATGTATGGACAATAGTCCGCCAAAGATACTGAACCACCGTAGTATTGTTCTTCTCCAGCTGGCACATGAGGAATTGAGTCAAAGTTCTGAACAACAGAACATTAGAATTAAGATATTTTTCATTAGGATCTAGCGTGGAAGATGTATACTTCCTGTACTCGCGACTAGAGAGCTAAGACCGATATCTTTCCGCAAGTGTTCGATCTGTTTCCATTCGGGGGAAAGGATGAAGATGTGGAGAAGGTTTTGAGCCAATTTGCAAAGAAAATATTGATATGGATATAATCTCACACCTGATACTTCTTGGACAATGGTTGCGGATGTTTAATCAAGTTGCACAATGCGACCGAACTTCTGTCGTCGGTACATTCAGTCTGTAATGGATCTTGTTTCACTTTATTGCAAAACGGATGAATAGATTTCCCTCTGAAAAATATTAATGATACAATTCAGATGAAATACATTCTGTGAGATAGAATACTCACTCGAGTTTAGACTTAGAGGATATCCATTCTTTGCAAGATGACATTGCAAACTCGCAACCAAGATTTTTACCCCACCCCAATTCTTGAGCCATTGAATAATTCGCGCTATACCATCCAGTATCTTCCATAAGAGCGAGAGTTATTCTGGAATACACTGGGTTCTGTGTGTGAGTTCCTGTCATTGCTTCATTCTATGTAAACAATGAACAAACTTCACAGCTTTGTCCAGGATTAATTCTCAATAGGCAGATCTTTACAGTATATATTCAACGATATTTACTTCAAACACTCGCTTCTCCCAGTGTGTTAAGGCTGTGCCATCCTCTCCTTGATCTTCCAACTCAGCACCCTCTAATTTTGTACAGTTAAAATGATTTTGAACTTCAGCACGAACACGAGGTGTGACTATCATTTGCATCGACCTTTCTACGTAACCACCATGCACTTGCCAATGTGGCCTAATCACAGTTTTGATTGTGTTCTCACTCCATTCGTGAGTTTGAAACCTGTGCATAACGAACAGGAAACATTACCATCCTTCCTCGTTCAAAAACATTTGTTTTCCTATGTGACGCCGTGATATATTTTTTAACTTTTTTTTAGAGACATTACATCGTTAGAAAAACAAAAAACGCGGTACCCTATATATCTCCATGTTTTTATTAATGTGAATGTAAAATGTACATGTATTTACTATAAATATAAGCGATAACCATCTATCATTACTATAAAAATACGCTGGTAGACTGAGACGGGTAGGATACCGCGGTTTTCTTCCTCTTTTCTATGTTTAAACGCGCCGCGTTACTGCAGCTAGCGCGTCTACTAATACCGCCCGCTACCACTAGGCGCCGCAGCGCACTCACCATCGAAATCAAACGGTCGCATACATATCAATCGCTCATCCAGCCACCCTTAGCGTAAAGATCTGTTACTCTCACTACAGTTGGTAAATGGATATGCATTACCTACAGAGATCTTTAGCTTTTTTTGTAACTCTCTCAGGACATCTATTTGGTGACTCTTCGTGTAATTTCCTATATCCTTTTTTTAGTGATAGGTAAGTCACCGATAATTTCTCTGATAATTGCATTTGTTTGCATATAGTAATAGTAAGGACTTTCATTGTAATAGAATATAAGTTAGATATACCAAACAGAGAGACAGGAGCGATACTATCGATAACAGACACGGGGGCAGCAGCTAGATCTGTGTCAACTGTTTATCATATAATAGTCGATAACGATAAGAAGTGTTGTACTCACTTTTCATTTAATGCTGGTTTTCCCGTATCACTTCTTCTGGGACTTCTGGGTTCGCCGTTCTCATCGCGATAGAAAGCATATAGGCTCACAGAAAATCCCAAGGCGTGCAATATTTCGTGTTTCACTGTACTCAGCAGGGTTTCCAGCTCTTGAGGCTTCGTACTGATACTTCCTGGGCACAGATTCGCATGACCAGCTATTGGTCTGAAATGTATCGCATTATTATCAAGATTATCTTCAATCGTAATTATCTGAATAAATCAAGGTAATAGTTTTACCGATCTAGCGTAGCTTCTTGTTGACAATGCGCAGCATAAGCCACTGTCAATCCTTTGTGACATCTTTGAGTTTGCATTGCGGACACATAAAAGACAAAATCAGCGCCATCAATTCCTCGACCTGCCTTACTTCCTTCTGCTATGCCGCAGTTGTGTCCTGTTGCGTTACACGTCCGGCAAACCTACATATGAGATAAATATATATAATGTTAAACCTATTTGCCAGCAACATTTAAGCTTCATCTTAAGAAAATCATTTATTATCTTACGTCGAGGTGATCTTCAGGAACGACAACATCCCCGCACATTGTGGTAGGACGACAGGTGTCTATACAGTGTGTGTGTTGATCTTTAACAAACACTTGACTACTTTCGCATTTTCTAAAACATGAATTACTTGATCGATATGTATTTTTAAAGTATTGGTCATGACTGCTTCGAGAAATAATCCTACGCTACCTGTTCAATCTAATAGTTTTCTTCGTCTCACGGACCATGAGTGTTCGTTCCCAAAAATGAACAGCTTCAGGCAGAATAGTGTTCTGGAACGAAGTAAAAATAAAATTGAATGATTATAATAGTATCTACGACATTTCTATCAAAATTAAACTACATACTTACATTAATGAGATCCAATTTTTCATCGTCCAATCTGTTATAAAAAGTTTTATTTATGTTAAATTACAGAATGAAACATTTTGTAGGAAGCATTGCAATGTAAATATTTTCAAAACGTACCTATAGACACTTTCATCGTACGACAACAAAATTCTAAGCGG